TAATCCTTGTGACAACCCTTAAGTGACAGCTGTCACTCTTTTCAGATGAAAAAACAAAAATAAAATCAGATAGGGTGAGTAATTTTCCTGCTCCAAGCTGCTTGTCAGTGGTAGGATTTCAGTAGAACTTTTGGCTCACAATCTTAGCTGTTGGCTGCCCCATGAGCCAGCTATGTTGAATAGTGCTACTAGCTGGACAGCCATCCCATGTTTATCCATCCAGGCTTCTTTCCATGCGTCTGCATCTTACTAGTTTGCTTGGCTTCCCTGCTTTGTCCATGTCTGCCATGTTTGCCAGTTGTTGGAGTTGTCATCCATTGCTTGTCATGGTCTCTGGTGCTTTGGCTTAAGCAAGCATTGCAAATCCCACCTGCACAGTCTGTTCAAAGCTCTATTGATCTTGTCTGGCATTTGCTTCTCTTGGGCTCTCAGTCGTGGGCAGTTGGACAAGTGGCCACTGAAGCAGCCTCACATGGTCACAATAGTTTAAACAGTCACAATTGTTTACACAACTCAAGGCTCTTGTTTCCCAGGGAGGGCATGGCATGGGGTTCACTTCAGTGTGTGGGAAAGGGACAGTGGTCTGTCTCCTGGGAACCCCAGAGCTCTAGAGAGTTCAAGAGACATTGTCTCGGGCTTTGTGTTTTAAAGAAGTTGTCTCTGAGACCCTATGACATGAAAATGTTTCATGAGGGTGTCTGAAGGGCGCCCAAGGCCAGGCTTTCACTCTTGATGGTGATGTGGGTTCCAGGGAAAGTGGGGCTGAGTGCTCATCTAGATGACCTGAAGGTTGTTGTTACTTACCTGGCATCTCAGTGTCATGTCCTGCAGTGTCTCATGATTCACTGCACACTTGGCTTCCCAGAGCAAAGAATGTGGTAGAAGCTGGTGAATGAAAAAAGAAATAAAAAGGAGGATATGACTGTTCCTAGTTATGGCGGAGGAGAAAGTCTATTGTGGGTATGAGGGAGAGTACAGCTAGAGGCAGAGATATATGGGAAAGTTCAGAGTGGACATGACCCTGAGCCAGGCCATGTGAGAAGAGGGGAGAGCTGGAGACCAAAAGGCTAAAAGGGAAACAGGGTAAAAGGTAAAAAGGGCCATGGAGCTGAATGGCTGGATAATATAGGGAAGAGCCTCTGGGGTTGAGCATCCCAGCCCCTGGGATGGAGAGGTCAGGGTAGAGAGTGGGGTATGCCAGCTGTACCCTGTAACAAGTAGGGACTGAGGGATGCTGGGAGAACCTGGTGGCCAGATCTACTTTGATATGTTAAACAGGCACCTCAGATGGCCATTTGTCCCAGGTTTGTGACCTAACACCTGGAATATTCTGCTGTATTAGATGTGCGTTACCTCATTGCCAACCAGAAAAAGCCAAATGTCCTCATGTAGGTTTTTGAAGTTGGTACTCTACTGAGCTCCATGATTGTCAGTGCACAAGAGGAAAGACTGGGCTTCCGAGAGGCAGGGCTTGAAGTGACAGGTGGCATGCTCCACGAAAGATGCAGTCGGTGACAAGCTGGAACCACTTCTTCGGAGACATGCACAACTCCCACAGCTGTAGCATTTAGCTCATACTTGATGTTAACTCCCCTCGTAGCATGGCCTCCGTGACTTATGTGCTGCTGCATCCCCCTTTTACACACAAAGAGAGGGAACAATGGGGTGTCTTGGTGATAGTGACTTCACATCTATAGAAGAATTCTGCAAGGAGAGGTGTTTCCCCCTCCTCAGTTCTTCCCGGACTCTGGCTGTGCACAGCTTCCTGTCTGCTTCTCTTGGCAGAGGGAGTTTCCTCTCCCACTTTCCTTGGTGATAGTTGCCCCTAGTGGTGCTCAGATATTAGCAAGTTCCTCTACCCCTACTTTAAGGCTTCTGAGGGGAGAACCCAAGCAGAGCTGGAGGGTGGGCTAGAAGCCTTTCTTACAGGGACCTCAAGTCACTCCAGGTCCATGGGATCTTTGAAGCTTTCTTCTTTCTTGTGAGTCAAGAAGTTAATGGATAAGGAGTGTTGCCTGTGTCTGGGAACCCAGGGAGGCCTCAGGATCACAGCCCACACTGTGTTGGACTACTGTTCAAGTTGGAGATGAGTCTTTTCTATGGCATGCTGGCTAGTTTACCTCAACATGACAGAAGTTAGAGTCATCTGGAAAGAGGGAACCTCAATTGAGAAAACAATTTCTCCATAAGATCAGGCTGTAGAGAAGTCTGTAGGGCATTTTCTTAATTAGAGATTGATAGAGGAGGGCCCAGGCCATTGTGGGTGGGGCTACCCATGGGCTGGTGGTCCTAGGTTCCATAAGAAAGCAGGTTGAGCAAGTCATGGGGAAAAGCCAGGAATCAGAGCTCCTCTATGACCTCTGCATCAGCTGCTGCCTCCAGGTTCTTGCCCTGTTTGAGTTCCTGCCCTGATTTCCTTTGATGTTGAATAGGGAAGTGGAAGTGTCAGCCAAACAAACCCTTTCTTCCCCACTGCTTTTGGTCATGGTGTTTATCACAGCATTAGAAACTCTGATTAGAACAAACAGGATGGTGATGGCCAGTCTTCTTCAGCTGGATTTCCTCCTCGAACATACTGTTCCAATTTCCTGTCTTTATTTCCTGTCCCAACTTCTTGTCGGATTTCCTTTCTTAAAATCCTGTGCTAGTTCTCCTCAGAGCAGTCTCTCTTCCTAGTTTAAGAAGCTTGGATTCTAGGCAGTCTCAATTTTGGATAGTCTCAAAATAAATTATGATTTTGTAGATTATCTGGGTTTTTTTTTTTGGTTTTTTGGGGGGAGTAGTGGTGAGGGTGAAAAAAAAAAAACAAAAAGCAAAACAAAACAAAACCTTTCCTTTCAGCATGACTGCACTCACTGTATCCTGGAAAGAAAGACAACAAATTTCTCTCCCTCTTCTAGGGATTGTATCTTGGGCCTCACTCATGCCCAAGTGCTCCACCACTGAGCTACATCTCCAGCCTATTTTTATACTTTTTTATCTTGAGACAGAGTCTTGCCTTGTAAATTGCTCAGTCCAGCCTTGTATATGGGATCCTCTTGCTGTAGTCTTCAAAGTAGCTAGATGTATGGGCATGTACCACCAGGGATGGCTTGAAAAGAATACTTAACTGTATTTTTATTTTAACTTTCTCATTCTAAGAGTTGGGGGGCAGGGGAGATGGCTGCATCTACAAAGTGCTTGCCATGTAAGCAAGAGGACTTGAGTGTGATCTTCTAGAATTCACATGAAAAATTAGGGCGCTTCTTGAAGATTGGAGGTTTCTGTCCCACCTGGTCCCACGCTGCTTTGCCCAACATAAACACACGGAGACTTACAATAATTTACAAACTGTTGGCCAATGGCTAGGGCTTCTTATTTGCTAGCTCTGTCTTAATTACTTGCCCATTTCTATTAATCTATGTATTGCCACCCGGCTGTGGCTTACCTGTAATCTGGCATGTTACTCCTTTGGCAGTATGGTGTCTCTTCGAGGCCTCCTTCTGCCTTTCTTTCTCCAGTCTTCTCCTGGTTTGGCAGCCCCACCTATCCTTCCTGATTGGCTAATGGACAAACAGTGTTTTACTCATCAACCAGTAAGAGAAACATATATACAGAAGGACATCCCTCATCAACTTCAGTTATATCTAAGCACTGGGAGAAGGAGACAGGAGAACTCCTGGGGTAGAATAGCTAGACAGATTCAGTGGAAAACACCATCTCAAAAACTAAGGAGGTGGCATGTCCTCTCTCACATGTAGATGGTGGCTTTAAATATTTAGATATGTGTGTTTAAATTGGAGCACCCATAGAAGTCAGGAGCAAATAAAGAGGGCTGGGGTGTCTTTTAAGAGAGGGGATAGAATGCAAGTGATATAAAGGGATGGGAAATATAGAGCTGCTGGCCACTGGGGGTCCAAAACATTATAGGCCTTTGTTATTGCTCTTGGTTACCTTTAGAATCTGATGGTAAGACCCTATTGCTGAAGGTGTCCCTTACTTGAGTTGCAGGACATATGTGTAACCAGCTGCTTTCTGATTATGTTTAAGGCCCATTATACAGGACAACACTCACACATGATTCTATTAACAGAGCCAAGAACCTGAAGCCAGACAGGTTAGAGGATCTAGGGGAGAACCCACTGTTATCATTCTGTTAAATGACATCAAACTGACCCTGAAAGACTCGTCATTGTGCCTGTGGATAAGGGCATCTCCTAACCCCCATCAGAGAAGTTTCTTTTTACAGTAGTTGGTGATTAGTCTTGAAACCTACAGCTATGTGCAGAGAATAATTGACTGTGGGGCACTCAGCACTAAAAGGGAAAGACATCTATGCTATACCCCTCCCTCCCAGGGTTCAGGGATTATTGGGATAGAGAAGGTGGAAAGATTGTAAGAGTCCGAAGCAGTGGAAAACTACAAGGAAGCAGTGTTCCCTGACACAGTGAGGCAGTTGTGTGTCATGAGATGATGGAAGCAGTGACTGCACATACAAGACTCACATACGATCAAGGCAGACGAAGTCCCAGCATGGAGGTGGGGAGGAGGTCATGAGGTTCCACCCCTAGCTCAGGAGTTATTGACAACTGATGGCTGCTAGAAGAGGGAGGGTCCATTTTTTTTTTCAGGGATTTGAGCTCTGGGAGGCTGCCCATGCTCTAGTAGATGGCCCCATACTTGTATGCATACTGGGGGCACTAAGTGGAGTCCATGTTTTTTTTTTTTTTTTAAAGAATTGGGAGGGCATAGTGATGGCAGGGACAGAGAAGGGATTGGAAAGGAAGGAATGGGAGGCTGACTTGAAACACATTTATACGATGTATGAGTGAGATGCCTTCTTTTGCCAAGCTGACACCCTGAGTTTCATCCCCAGGACACACATTGTGGAAGATGAGAACTAACTCCTGAAAGCTGCCCTCTGACCTTCATTTGCATGTAGTAGCATCTCTAAACTCTCACACCTGGGGTGGGTTGTGGATGAGGATAAATACATAGGTGTTTTTTAAAAAAATAAGGTGATACTGACCTGGCAGGGGAGATACCATGGTCAAGAATATGGTTTTCTTAAGGCATGGATTATCCTTTGTACTCCAGATAAGATGACCCCTGTGAGTGTGGGGAACTTGACTGTGTAAATTCTAGATGTTGGGGGATTGTATTTGTGCTCTCTCCTAAAATATAAGGTGGCAGTTCATCAGCAAGCTTTGAAAACAGACTGATTGGAGTGCATCTGGTGGCTGATTCTGGCCCCGGGGGCAGCAAGCATGGATTGCTCCATGCCCGTGGATCTTCTGTCTTTCTGGGTAAGTGGAAGGAAGCCCTTTTGGTGGTCCCCATATGTGTGCTGTGCCTAGCACAGAAAGCCAGGATGGAGACAAGGGTGCTTTATTCAAATGATACACTTAGGCTTCTGCAACCCATCCAAGACAACCTGCCCAAGACATCTCTGTCCTCTAGGGAAAAGGAGGCTAAGAGGATGGTCAGAAGTTGTCTGCTGTTTTGTGGGAGGGGAAGGGCAACTGGAGAAATCAGACCAGAAGAGGGATCTGGAAGAGAAAGGCATCCATCAAAGGGTCCAAGAGAGCCAGGTGGGGCCAAGTTCTAGGCCTGTGGCAACAATTCAATGAAAACTTGAGAACATAAATAAAGCTGGAGCAACCTAGGCAGTGGTTGGAGGAGGTTTGATGAACTCCCCCATCCTGTAGGACCAGTGACCTGATTCCTATATGCTATAGTGTCCCCACAGATGCTACCACTGTACATTGGTAGTTGGGTTGGTTAAGCACCATGTGATGAGAAGCAGAGACAAGCGGTTTTGACACGAACACCTGGGGAAGGCCCTGGGCACCCCACCCCCTTTTCCCAGCCTCAGCCCTGGCTTAGAGCACTGCCTGTAGTTTTCTGTCCTCTCTGGGCTTGTAGTTCTCATCTCTAGCTATGAAGAGAGAGTGCGGCAGCTCCCTTCCTGAAGACATCAGGAGGAATTTATAGCCTTTCTGCAGAGGGGTAAAATATTGCTGTGATCTTGAGGCTTTTCTTCTTGCTTGGCTCCTCCCATAGTCTCTCAGAGATGAGACTGACTGATGTGTGGAGGAATGGAGCAGGCGGGGAGGGGTGGGAACAGAAAGAAGCAAAGAGCTATGGGGATGGAGGTTTCATTGATGAAGGCATCACACACACACACACACACACACACACACACACACACACACAGAGAGAGAGAGAGAGAGAGAGAGAGAGAGAGAGAGGTGCACAAAGGGACTGTGTTACACTTTGGGGGCAAAGCCCCCTCCCCAGTCCACTGCAAGGTTGATCTCCAGTGGTACTGTCTAGAACTGTTAGGAGGTGAGCCAGCTGGAGGAAGTTGGTGGGTCCTCAAGGTATTCTATTGCCACATGCCTTGCTCTTTCTCCTTTCACTCTTGGCCTCCTGCTGTGCTCTGTGCATCCTGTCTGCTGAGAGGTAAACAGCTTTAGTCATGCACACTTCCTCCATTGCCATGAGGTTCTACTTAAGCACACAGGGCCACATACCCATGCACTGAGCTCCCTGAAACTGTGAGCCAAAATGAATATGCTTTCTCTTAAGCCACTTCTGTCCAGTACTCTTGTTGATGCTATGCCAATGTATGTGCCTGATACAGTGGCCATGTAAAGCAGGACATCACACTCCTCATAACCCCAAGCCTCCCTGGAAAGTAGAGGACACTGGACTGGGAGCCAGATACTGGGAGCCTTTAAGTCTAGGCTGTGTACCTGTCAGTGTTCTCCACACTTCCAGATTTCGATAATCAAGGGAAGGGAGGCCTCGGGATGTGTCTGGGAAGGTAGTGGGTGACTTGGGTGGCCTGGTCAAGCTTGCCTCCATCTCAGGAGTCTTATCTGCAGTCACCTTTGAGGTGGGCCACTACCCTACTCTCTGGAAACATCATCTGCTTTGGGATAATATCCTTAGGCTGCCTCATACAGGTCTGGTAGAGTATGCCATCTTACAAACTGATACATCTAAGGAGCCCAGGGTGCTCATCATGGTTTTTAGGGCCTGCAGAGTCCTGATCACTCATGTCCTGCTGGGGGAAGCTCTGGAAGAAGTGGGTGTCACCCATTATTCAAAAATATCAAGAGATGCCTTCAAATTCAAACTTCATTTGTAGTCTCATGCTTTATTTGTCTCTTTTTTGTGCATGTGTCACGTTATGTGTGTGTCCGTGTGTGTGTGTGTGTGTGTGTGTGTGTGTGAGTGTGTGAGTGTGTGTAGGTGTCTGCATTTATGTCTACAAGGAGGCATATACTAGGCTCACATCTAATAGACTGCAGCGATTCTCCTATCTCCACTCACGTCGGTGCTGGGATTACAGGTGCATACACAGCCGTGTCCAATTTCAACACAGGTGTCAGGAATTTGAACTCATCATGCCTGCAGACCAAGCATTCTTACCTACTGAGACACTCGCCTAGCACCAAATTGCCTAATATTATGCCACTAATAAATATCCAAACAATACTCAAAACTATTGTGACACGAATGGAACAATATGCAGGTAGGCTGCTTCTCAAGGTCCCCAGATGAGAAGCTAAGTCCTGTACCTTCCCCAGGGTTCTTCCCTGCTCACAGGAGTGGCCAGCTCCTACTGATGACACCCTTCTGGGCATGCAGGAAAACACAACCAAACATTAAATAAACATGCACTAATTACCCAGAAATATTTATATGTTGGGGTTCCCCTGTGTTGAATAAGAAATTATTGAAGCATATATCATCCACCATGCTGTTAATCACCTGTAAATACATTTTAAATACAGCAGTCCATTAGTAATTTATCCTGTCTCCTGAAGAATATGCACCACCTCAGACAAATGTCACAAGCTTCAGAGCCAAGGGAAAAAATTTCCCACCTAGTTAATCTTTATGTTCTCTCTGCAAGAAAATCCCAGCTGTACCAGCATGAGAAATGTTTCCTTGGGGCCAGTGATGATGGCCACTGTCCTTGAGGAACTTATGGGTGAGGAGGGGGAGCCATGTCTCTGGAGAGGGCCAGGAGTGGATGGGTTGGGCAAGGCAGGTTTGTCACTTCCCTGCCAATTAGTGTAAATGCCAACTAAATGCAAACTTTGGAGCTGAAGATGGTGTAATGCATGTTGGTCACCATAGACCTATCCATTTGGGAATCTGGTTGCAGGATTGTTGCCCTCTGTGCAGCCTACCTACCTGACACTGCCTATATGCATTTTTTTCCTGGTGGGATCCGTCAGAAAGGGATAGGCGAAGTAACTGTTAACTGAGAAATATCCTGTCAGCCTCTGCTCTGGGAGACCAGCACATGTGCCTTGTGGGACCTTCTCCCCCTGAGCTATTTGCTCAGTTACTAAACATCTGCTGAGTATCTGCTATGGACCCAGTACTGTTCTAGATTTGGAGGAAATGGTGAACCATGACAAATACATCCTGTCCTGGAGATGAGAGGTAGACAGCAATCACATCGACCAGCTTGTCAGTAGTAAGCACTTTTTTTTTTCAGAGCAGATGCCAAGAATCCAGACATTATCATAGAGAACAAATGTCAGCAAAGTAGAGGAGATGGTGGCTAGGACAAAGCTGGATTCGAACTCAGAATCCAGTTTTGATCCTAGCAATGAGGGAGTGGGGGAAACTGATGATGTCTTTGAAGTTGAAAAAATGGAGTAGATGGCATGTCATTTGTTGTGTTCTGGAATATTCAGGAAGGAAAGGACAGTGCTGCAGCATGGAACACACTAACAGTGCTGCAGGCAGCTGGGCTTGCCACTCAGGAGAAAGGTCACTGGGACATGCACTGAACTGCTCCTTCTGGAGCAACCGGGCTCTGTGCACAGGGTGGACAGTTCCCTGGGCATGCTCTCAAGGGTTTCTTTACTTTGCTGCCTCCCCTGGAGCAGGATAGACTTAGAGCAGGTATAAGACGTGCACGTGTATGTGTGTGTGTGTGTGTGTGTGTGTGTGTGTGTGTGAGAGAGAGAGAGAGAGAGAGAGAGAGAGAGAGAGACAGAGACAGAGACAGAGAGTGCGAGAGAGTGTTGCTGAAAGTGCTGTTCTCCCTGGGGTTAGCTTCCCAGGAAGACTCCAATGGCGCTGAGCCCAGCTGCCCATAGAAGCCACTTGCCCATCTCTGGGTACTTCTCCAGGTTTTCTTCCTCTCTCTGCTGCTTCCTGGGCTTCAGTCTGGCTCAGGCTCTATTTTGTGGTGTACTGAAGTGAGGATGGACATTTGCTGGCTGCCGGAGGGTATGCGTGGGATTGCTCCTTATAGTACTGACTAGAAGGGCAGATTTCCTGGGAAAAGGGGGTGCTTGGGTAGAAATGGAGGGGCAAGAACTCTGTGGTGTGTGGATGCAGAGCAGGTGAGTTTGTTCTCCTCAGCACACACACACGAAATAGCCACTGGGAGTCAACACACTAAAACACTTAGGGAAACTCTCACCTGCTGCCCTTCCCTGTTTCTGTTCCCTCCATGGGCTGGGAGATCATAGTGGTTTTCTCAACGGCTTTCACATCCTGCTAAAGTTTTGGCAGCTTGTTTTTCCTAAGACTCTGCTGGCTTGTGATTCAAGCCAGACTGAAGTGGTTGGTGTATGTGTGTGTGTGGGGGGGATGTAGGGGTGGAGTCCACCCACATGCAATGCCACCCCTGAGGAGGAAATAGGTCTAATGGGGGTTCAAACCTAGGTCTTCACACGTGCTATGCAAGCCCCATACCACAGAATGTTAGCACCCCACCCCCTGCCTGCCCACCTTCTTTTAGAGAAGAAAATTGAGCGGTCCCACGGGGTGTATGTGAGCAAAAATGTGCAGTGTGTCTTGACTCAGATTTCACAAACCTTCCTACCTTCCTGGATAAAGCAAGTCCCGTGTTAAGTCCCCTGAGACCTGCACTCAAGGAAATATGCATCCTTCTCAAGGAATGAGCACATGCACCTTAAACATGCTCGTTAAGCCTTTGCCTCTCATCCAGTCCCAATGCGCACCCAGCTATTTACGCTTTCCTTGTGGAGTTTACAGCATACTCCCCTCCATTATATGCTTGTCAATTACATGTGCACTTTATCTCCAAGCCACACTGTGCATGTCTTCAGGGTAGAATCCATGTCCAACCTCTCTCAGCACCTCCCCGCCAATTAACTTAAGAGAGGAGTATTAC